GCCTCCGACGGAGCGGAACCTTTTTTTTTTTTTTCTTTTTTCGGGTCCCTGCCGCCGCCGCCGTGATTGACGTTGGATCTACTTCGGGGGACATTGTTTTAATAAAGGACTTGTCAAAGACCCTGTACTGTGTTTTTTTTACACCACACTTTTTTTTTTTTTTGTGAAGGAGTCTGCGGGAGCATCTACCGCAGACTCCTTCACGTAGGGGGGGGGCCGGGATCTGGGGGCCCCCTTGTTAAAGGGGGCTTCCAGATTCTGATAAGCCCCCCGCCCGCAGACCCCCACAACCACCGGCCAGGGTTGTGGGGAAGAGGCCCTTGTCCTCATCAACATGGGGACAAGGTGCTTTGGGGGGGGAGCCCCCCTGCCTCAAAGCACCCCCCCATGTTGAGGGCATGTGGCCTGGTATGGTTCAGGAGGGGGGGGGGGCGCTCGCTCGTCCCCCCCCCTTTCCTGACCTGCCGGGCTGCATGCTCGGATAAGGGTCTGGTATGGATATTGAGGGGGACCCACGCTGTTTTTTTTTTTTAAATTTCAGCGTGGAGTTCCCCCTTAATATCCATACCAGACCTGAAGGGCTTGGTATGGATGAGAGGGGGGACCCACGCTGTTTTTTTTTTTTTTTTTTTTTATTGTGGACCTTTATTTTTACATTCAGCTGTCAAAATAAATATTATCTAGACCTTTGAAATAAGTAAAATCATTACAGAAATAATTATAAAGGATAAGAAACAAAAATAGAATCACTAGAACTAAGGAAATCTAATTAGATTACATGAAGATATGCCGAGTGCTGTTTATTAAACACAATAGTCACGACCGAGTGCCGGCTGTCAGAGGAATCCACAATCAGATTCACTATTAGTCAGTGGCTAAAAAGCAAACGCCCATGGCAGAAGTCTAAAATGTGTTCTGCACATGCTCAGTTGTATCTGCCAAAGACACTGCACGGGCTTCTAGATTTTTACTGTGTCGATTTCCTTGAAAAAAACGATTTTTAACACATTTTTAATTTTTTTGGAAATAGCAGATATTGTTTAAAGTGAAGTCCTGATATTTGGCAAAGCAAATTTCTAAGTGAACATGTCTCTGCAGTGATTTTTCATGGTTTTAGACGTGCTTCTTAGCAAGTCTGTTTTGTGAGTCTGATTTCGGGCGTGTGTCTTTTTGTGAATTAGATTGGGCATCTGCTTATGGGCTCTGTTCAATAGTGAATTAGGTTGCAGGGTAAAAAATGACGGACGCCCATGAAAATTGGGCTTAAGCCCATAAATATGCGCCCACGCCCAATAGTGAATCAGGGCCGTGTTGATGGTGCTGTGGGGAATTGTATTTATATAATTTATTTATTTATTTAGTAAGTGGTTTTGATTTTATCAACTACAAGGAACGTCTCACCTCTGTGCTCGCCAACAAGGGTTCCTCCACCAACTACAAGAAACGTCTCACCTCTGTGCTCACCAACAAGGGTTCCTCCACCAACTACAAGAAACGTCTCACCTCTGTGCTCGCCAACAAGGGTTCCTCCACCAACTACAAGAAACGTCTCACCTCTGTGCTAGCCAACAAGGGTTCCTCCACCAACTACAAGGAACGTCTCACTTCTGTGCTCGCCAACAAGGGTTCCTCCACAAAGTACAAGAAATGTCTCACCTCTGTGTGCTCGCCTCTGTGTTCGCCAACAAGGGTCACCTCTGTGCTCACCAACTCCACAAAGTACAAGGAACATCTCACCTCTGTGCTCACCAACAAGGGTTCCTCCACCAAGTACGAAGTCATGTTTTGTTTGGGGATCAAATACTTATTGTACTCCCTGAACTGCAACTCCATTTATAACATTTGTATCGTGTTGTTTCTGGATTGTTGGTTGATATTCTACCTCTATCATTTGTATACACCGATGATAACAATTACAGACCCTTCATTTCTGTGTAAGTGGGTGAACCTACACAATCTGCAGGGGATCAAATCATTGTTTTTCACCACTGTATATAAGCAGCCATGACACATGCATTCACATAAGGGCTCAAAAGTGTGCAGAAAACTTTCACTTAAATATCCTCCAACATGATAGGATGTTGTTGTGTCATATCTTTAATGAGACATCACGGGTCTGTTAGATCTGCTGTTCACTGATCTCCCACCCCTCTGCATGGCAACATCTACCAAGCCGGTGCCAGGCCCACGAGTGGGATAACAGGACCTGGGAAATGTGGTGGGGGTTTGTGACCCAAAGGAGAAAGAACTCCTTATGTCAGTGTAGTGGTCCCTTACATTTGTGACCGATGGGAGAAGGACCCCTTATATCGTGGTCGGTGTAGTGGTCCCTTACATTGGTGACCGATGGGAGAAGGACCCACTTATATCAGTGGTCAGTGTAGTGGTCCCTTACATTGGTGACCAATGGGAGAAGGACCCCCTTATATCAGTGGGGGAAGGACATTCCTACATCGTCATCAGTGGGAAGTCTGCCCCCCTTACAGATCATTGATGTCAGTTGTTACTGAGAAACAGAAATTGTTCATTGCTGGAGGAAACCTAGAACCCTTTGGAGGAACCCTGTCTGAGAAATGACTGCCTAGTCCAGCCTATATTTCTGTCCCCCTTGGTGGGAGTGGAGTTGACCCCTCTATGAAGACATACAGTCCATACACACCCAGCACAAGGCCGGGGTCACACTACCAGACGGTTCTTGGGGCTGCAGTTCCTCTGAGCTCCACAAGGTGGGGATCTCACTTCTACCCAGATAGGAAGTCTCTGGAAGACAGGAAGTGATGTCAGCTACAGACAGGAAGTGATGTCAGGTATAACTGGGAAGTTGCTGGTGAGAGGCGAGTTGGGAGGAAGTAGAGAGGAGACATTGCTGGAAGTGGCAGCAGAGGAGGTAATAAGATCTGATATTATATTTACACCCAGTAACCCCCTGTCACGCCCGTCCTCTTCCTCCACCGTCACGTCCGTCCTCTTCCCCCACCGTCACGTCCGTCCTCTTTCTCCACCGTCATGTCCATCCTCTTCCTCCATAGTCACTGTGACGTCTGCAGATGATGATACAGACATATATATAGTGTGGGAACCCAGATTAACCCCTTCAGGGACAGAAAATTCCCCCACTTCTGGGGCTGGAACATTCTCCTCAGTGTGGAGATGTCACCTTTCCCACCAATCACCTTCTCACCTCCTTAGTCTATATTAATGGATTATACCACTTCTATCAGGGGATGGGGGGGTCATTTAGACAGAAGAAGAATCTTAATCGTATTTCCATGATGGTGGATCAAGAATGTTCCTCTGTATGTAATCCTAGTGGGGTCTGTTCCTCCATGATAGAGCCCCCTCATATTATCCCCCTTCCCCCCCATCCTAGTATTGTACAACCAGTACAGTCCAGATCATTCTCTGTTATCAATTATTGGTCTACAGGAAACCTGTATAGATCACATGACCAATGAGGATGGAGGAGGACCGGAGTCACATGACTAAGAGGATACTAAACCTCACCCTGGAGATCATCTACCTGCTGACCGGAGAGGTGAGGAGGATTCTGGGAGGTCACATGACATCACTCTTATCTCTATTAATAAAACACAGACCTGAGCGGAGAGGTGAGGAGGATTCTGGGAGTCTAACATGATGTTCCTATTGGTTTCCCAATACAGAGATTTCCTCTTCTGAAGTCAGGTGATCATATGACCATCACAGTGCCTCCATGTGACTCCCTAAACCATGAGAGACCCAACATGGAGAAGATTCTAGAAGTCACCAAGAAGATGATGGAGCTGCTGACAGGAGAGGTGAGCGGTGCCGGGAATTCTGGGACATTCTCCAGTAACAGACAAGGGATGTGTCTGGATGGTGACTGTATCATTGTGTGTGTCAGGTTCCTATAAGGTGTCAGGGTGTCACTGTCAATTTCTCCATGGAGTTACAATACATTGAATATCCTTTTGAATATTCAGAGTGGAATCCTCGGGCAATATAAAATTGTCGTAAAAGAAGAGTATAAAGAGGAGGATGAGGAGTATGAAGTGATGGAGGATTTTTCAGAAGGACACAAGGATATGATGAAGCCACCTAATACCAGGAACCCACCAGAGAGATGTCCCCGTCCTCTGGATTCCCGGGACTCCACACAGGAAGGTCACACCATCCCTCACCATCATCAGGTACATGGATCCAGCCATGGGAACCCACCAGAGAGATGTCCCCGTCCTCTGGATTCCCGGGATTCCACACAGGAAGATCACACCATCCCTCACTATTACAAGGTTGGTGGAACGGAGAATCTAGAACATGGACTCATGGAGACAATGTCCGGATTTTCTATGTGATGTCAAAATAATAAATCTTCTATCTTACAGATGATATTTCCTCTCCTTCTCATGATGTAGAGTGGAGATCCAATCGATATAGAATTTGAGGTGAAATCAGAAGAAGAAGAGGCGTATGTGAGGGATGATCAGCAGTCTATGGAGGAGGATGGAATAACGGGGACATTTATAGAGGAGGACACTCCTACAGAGATCAGCACAGGTGGGTCATGAACACTAAATCTATTCCTCCACCCATACTGCTCACTGATTGGTCCAGATGATAAAGTTCTCATTGAATCTCTCTCTGTCTGACAAGAGCCTGGATCTCAGGAGGAACCATTCACCTTGTAATCTCCTCAGAGACCAAGCTGCATGATGTGGGCGGAGTCCTGGTTTGGGGGAACCAATCAGCTCCTGTCTAGTAATCCTCTTTGTCTTTGTATTTTAGTCCATGGCCGAGAGATGAGGAAAACCTCCGAGGATTGTCTCACTTTGTCTCCAGACTGGAAAGTAGAAGATGAGGGACATCACACAGTATAGTCCAGGAGAAAATCTGGCTCCCTCCAATGTCCATCCGGCACCACCCAGTGTAGATGGACCATCGGATTCCTCGTATCCTGAGGAACCTCAGACTTTGCAGGACCGGGCCGGCCTTCCAACAAATAGGAGGTTTCCCTGTCCTGAGTGCGGGAAATGTTTCCATTCTAAATTCAATCTTAATGAGCATAAAAGATCTCACACAGGAGAGAAGCCACATGCCTATCCTGAGTGCGGGAAATGTTTTTCAAATAAATCCATTCTTTCCCGACATCAGACATCTCACACTGGAGAGAAGCCGTTTTCCTGTGCTAAGTGCGGGAAATGTTTTTCAGATAAGTCCAATCTTTACACTCATCAGCGATCTCACACAAGGGAGAAGCTTCATTCCTGTTCTGACTGCGGGAAATGTTTTGTACAAATATCATACCTTGTCAAACACCAGAGATCCCACACAGGGGAAACACCGTTTTCTTGTTCTGAGTGTGGGAAACTTTTTTCAAAGAAATCTACTCTCAGCAGACACCAATGGTCTCACATGGGGCAAAAGCCACATTCCTGTTCAGAGTGTGGGAAATTTTTTTTAGACAAGTCCAGTCTTTACATACATCAGAGATCTCACACGGGGGAAAAGCCGTATTGTTGCTCCTTGTGCGGGAAATGTTTTTCATACAAGTCCAGTCTGAACATCCACCAAAGGACTCACACGGGCGAAAATCCATATTTCTGCCCTGAGTGCGGGAAATGTTTTTCACACAAGCCCAGTTTTATTAGCCACCAACTGTCTCACACAGGTGACAAGCCGTATTCCTGCCCTAAATGCCAGAAATGTTTTTTTCAAAGAAATACTCTCTTACCACACATCAGAGCACTCACACGGAGAATTCATGTCTTCAAGATGAGAATGGTCAATCACAGAAGTCCTCTGCTTACAGTCATCTGAGATTGGATACGGAGGAGAACAAACTTTCCTGGTCTGATTGAGGGAAATTTTCCTCCCTGAAGACCTGAGTGTGGGAAATGTTTTTCAGAGAAGTCGAGTATTTCCAGACATCAGAGATCTCACACGGGGGGGAGAAGTCACGTTCCTGTCCTGACTGAGGGAAATGTTCCTCACTGAAGTCATGTCTTCCTGGGGTCCCACAAACCCTGGAGGTGTATTAGTGCCTTGAGTGCGGGAAATGTCTTCTAGATGAATGTTGCTGGACATCCCAGCTCTCATGTGGGGAAGAAGCTGATCTTCATCATGGAAGAAACCGTTCATAAGGAGGTCAGAGGTCACCAAAGACGTGGATGAAGTGTGGGACCGGGTTGGCCATTGATAGCAGGAGAGGAATAAAAATGGCGTCCTCACCTGTCATTTGCTGAGCACATTTTGTGGTGGAAGATAATACCATATTATGGACACTAGAGGAAGCTGAGCGTGCTATCCTAATAAAGGTTAGCGAACAAAACTGACAGAAGCAGTGTTTGTGTTTCATTCCAAAACTGAATTTACTTCTGTGAATAATTCTGTAAAACTGCAATACAATCACATAAACTGAAGTTACAATATGCTTGTAGATACGTCTCTCACAAGTGCATACAATGAACACATTTCTTGCAAACCGCTACCTACAAATCACTTTAAATATATTTAAATGCGATCTAGATATACACGTGACTTTAACAAACACAATGAATAAGCTTACAGGCATTTATGTATCAAAGGGCAGCACAGTGGCTAAATGGTTAGCACTTCCGCCTGGCAGTCCTCGGGTTGTTGGTTCAAATCCCAACCATGACACCACCTGCCTGGAGTTTGCATGTTCTCCCTGTGCCTGCGTGGGTTTCCTCCCACACTCCAAAAACATGCTGCTAGGTGAATTGGCTCCTGTCTAAATTGTCCCTAGTATATGAATGTGAGTTAGGGACCTTAGATTGTACACTCCTTGAGGGTTAGGGACTGATGTGAATGTACAATATATATGTAAAGCGCTGAGTAAATTGACAGCGCTATAAGTACCTGAAGTAATAAATAATATTAATAAAGGGAGAAAGGAGGCCTTCACTGGTGTGTTCTGCTGGAAGCTAAACTAGAACTGCAGTGGTAGATGGGAAAGCTTTATTTTTAACAAGCATAGCCATTTCCTGTTATTTATTGATAAAAAAATACAGAAAGGGTGCAATTGCAGTGAATGCCCAATAGATGGCTCCCTACTCCACAGAGTGATGATGTACAGAACCCTCCCTGCCTGGTAAATACATGGCTCCAAAAAAATGAAAGGAAGACTCTGTAATCTGAGTCTGTCATCAAGTCCATTACTCCTGGCATATTGATCTGGTCAGGTAAGTAGCAGAGGGGGTTGTTCATCAGTTTCAGCTACTTTGGTGTTAATGAAATTAACAACAAGTGCACTAGATGGGCAACAATGAGACCACCCCCAAAACAGGAATGGTTTTACAGGTGGAGGCCACTGACATTTTTTCCCTCTATCTTTTCTGACTTTTTCACTCGCTTTGCATTTGGCTAGGGTCAGTGTCACTACTGGTAGCATGAGGCCATACCTGGACCCTACAGAGGTTGCACAGGCAGTCCAACTTCTCCAGGATGGCCCATCAATATGTGACATTTCCAGAGGGTTTGCTGTGTCTCCCAGCACAGTCTCAAGAGCATGGAGGAGATTCCAGGAGACAGTCAGTTCCTCTAGGAGAGCTGGACAGAGCCTTAGAAGGTCCTTAACCCATCAGTAGGACCAGTATCTTCTCCTTTCTGCAAGGAGGAACAGGATGAGCCCTGCCAGAACCCTACAAAATGACCTTCAGCAGGCCACTGGTGTGAATGTCTGTGACCAAACAACCAGAAACAGACTTCATGAGGGTGGCCTGAGGGCCTGACGTCCTCTAGTGGGCCCTGTGCTAACTGCCCGGCACCATAGAGCTGGATTGGCATTTGCCATTGAACACCAGAATTGGCAGGTCCACCACTGGCACCCTGTGCTTTTCACAGATGAGAGCAGGTTCACCCTGAGCACATGTGACAGACGTGAAAGTGTCTGGAGAAGCCGTGGAGAAAAGTCTGCTGCCTGTAACATGGTTCAGCATGACCGTTCTGGTGGTGGCACAGTGATGGTCTGGGGAGGCATATCCATTGAGGGACATACAGACCTCGACAGCCTAGACAATGGCACCCTGATTTCCATTAGGTATGGGGATGAAATCCTTGGACCCATTGTCAGACCCTACGCTGGTGCAGTGGGTCCTGGGTTCCTCCTGGTGCAGTGGGTCCTGGGTTTCTCCTGATGCGGTGGGTCCTGGGTTCCTCCTGGTGCACGAAAATACACTGCCTCATGTGGCGAGAGTGTGCAGGCAGTTCCTGGAGGATGAAGGAATTGATAACATTGAATGGCCCCCACACTCCCCTGACCTAAACCCAATAGAACCCCTCTGGGATGTCAAGTTTCGGTCCATCCGACGCCGCCAGGTTGCACTTCAGACTGTCCAGGAGCTCAGTGATGCCCTCGTCCAGAACTGGGAGGAAATCCCCCAGGACACCATCCTTGGTCTCATTAGGAGCCTCCCCCGATGTTGTCAGGCATGCATACAGGTACATGGGGGCCACACAAACTACTGAGGATCATTCTGAGTTGCTGCAATGACATTTCAGCCAAATGGACTCATCTGCTGCATCATTTCTTCACTTTGATTTTCGGGGTGTCTTTGAATTCAGTCCTCTGAAGGTCAATCAATCGTATTCCCATCATACGATGGGGCGTCCTTATGTTCCTCACCCATCCCCCGTCCATGTCAGTATAGAGATCCAGCAGGAGATTCCTTCCCATTGAGGTCTGATTTGTTCTCAGAGTCTTCCTTTCAGGTCGGGGGGGGGGGGGTGTTGGGCTGGGGGGAAAACCAGGAGCTCGGTTTTAGCAAGGTTTAGTTTGAGGAAGTGGAGTGACATCCAGTCTGATATGTCCTTCAGAAGGCTAGTGATTCGGGCGGAGACTAAAGGAGTGAGGCTAGGGGTAGAGAGATTTGCGTGTCATCGGCATAGAGATGGTAGTTGAAGCCATGGGAGTGTATCAGTTGGCCAAGGGGGAGGAGGTGTAGATGGAGAAGAGAAGGGGCCCGAGGACAGAGCCTTGGGGGACCCCAACAGAGAGGGGGAATGAGGGGGAGGTGACAGCGTTATAGGTAACACTGAAGGAACGTTGGGATAGATAGGAGGAGAGCCAGGAGAGAGCAAAGACTCTGAGGCCGAAAGAGTATAGTTTTTTTTTTTTGAGGAGGGGGTGGTCGACCATGTCGAAAGCTGCAGAGAGGTCGAGGAGTAGGAAGACTGAATAGTGGACTTTGGCGGTTAGCAGGTCGTTGGTGAGTTTGAGTAGGGCGGTTTCGGTGGAGTGTAGGGGACGGAAGCCAGATTGTAGGGGATCAAGGAGGTTGTTGTCGGTAAGGTGGGAGCTTAGGCGATTATAGACTAAGCGCTCAAGGAGTTTGGATGAAAATGGCAGCAGGGAGATGGGTCTAAGGTTATTTAGGTCGGTGGGGTCCACGGAGGGTTTTTTGAGTATGGGAGTGATGTGCGCGTGCTTCAGAGTGGAGGGGAATGCACCAATAGAGAGGGAGAGATTAAAGATGTGAGTGAGGGAGCGTAGGATGGAAGAAGAGGGTGACCGTAGGAGTTGTGAGGGGGCAGGTGGTAAGGTGAGCTTCAGAGAAGACCTTAGTGACCTCTTCGGTGATAACGGGGTTTAAGGAGTGAAGTGTTGAGGGGGTTTTAGTGTGAGGAATGTTGGGCGGGGTGGAGGTCTGGACAGTGGCAAGGTCGAAGGAGAGGAGTGTTGAAGGGGTTTTCGTGTGAGGGATGCTAGGTGGGGCGGAAGTCTGAGCAGTGGTGATGTCCCTGCGAATTGTGTCGATCTTGCTTTGGAAGTGGTTAGCAATCTCGTGGGCGGTGAGTGAGGTACTGGGTGGAGGTGGGGGCGGAGAGAGCAGGGATTTGAAGGTGGAGAAGAGCCGGCGAGGGCTGGAGGAGAGGGTATTGATGAGGGCTACGAAGTAGGCTTGCTTGGCAGCATGGAGGTAGGAGGTGTAGGTGAGGAAGGCGGATTTATACCGGTTGAACGCTTGTTGGGACCTGGTTTTGCACCATCCTCTTCCTCCACCGTCACGCCCGTCCTCTTCCTCCACCATCACGCTCATCCTCTTTCTCCACCATCACACCCGTCCTCTTCCTCCACCGTCACGCCCGTCCTCTTCCTCCATTGTCACGCCCGTCCTCTTCCTCCATCGTCACGCCCGTCCTCTTCCTCCATCGTCACGCCCGTCCTCTTCCTCCATCTTCCTCTTCCTCCATCGTCACGCCCGTCCTCTTCCTCCATCGTCACGCCCGTCCTCTTCCTCCATCGTCACGCCCGTCCTCTTCTTCCATCGTCTTGTCCGTCCTCTTCCTCCACCGTCACGCCCGTCCTCTTCCTCCATCGTCTTGTCCGTCCTCTTCCTCCATAGTCACTCCCGTCCTCTTCCTCCACCATCATGCCCGTCCTCTTCCTCTATAGTCACGCCCGTCCTCTTCCTCTATAGTCATGTCCGTCCTCTTCCTCTATAGTCACGTCCGTCCTCTTCCTCCACCGTCACGTCCGTCCTCTTCCTCCACCGTCGCCTCCTTCCTCTTCCTCCACCGTGGCGTCCTTCCTCTTCCTCCACCGTGGCGTCCGTCCTCTTCCTCCAC